TTTTATTGATTTATTCATCTTGCTTTTGGAAGTTGATCCTCTGGCTCTGGAGTATACACACTGTATTCAATACCCAGAACTTGGGCAGGGTTTCACTGAACTCCACAATTAATGAACCTCTTGACTAGGCTTCCTGCTGGGAAGCCCCCGGCCCCCAGTTTTGTTGATTTAAGCCATGACTGATGTATGCTAGGCAAATGCTCCACCACTGAGCCACGTTCCCAGCACTTAAGTTTATTTTTGAGGCAGTGTCTCAGTAAGTGGCCCAGATTGGCTTCCATCTTGTGGTCCTTGCTTCAGCCTCTCAAACAACTGGAATTAGCGGTGTGTGCCCATGCTTGGTTGGAGTATACTTTGGTGATAGTGAAATGTCTATGGTTTTAGAAACCATAAAGATTGTGGGCTTATCAGTCAATCAACATTTTATATATTATAGTTGCTATTATACTTTAATAGATTAGAGGATTCCCTACAATCAAGATATTTCAGAAAGGCGAGTCTCCTGTGGACTATGATGGTGGACGGACAAGATCAGACATAGTGTCGAGGGCCTTGGATCTGTTCTCGGATAATGCCCCACCTCCAGAGCTGCTTGAGGTAAGCACTTCCCTGCTGGTGAAGAAGCTGCCTTTACTCAGATGAGCTCTTTGCCTTTCTGAGTTTTGTACAGTTTGACCATGTGGCCCAGGCTAGCCTTGAATTCACAGTATTCTTCCTGTTTCAGCCCCACAAGTGCTGAGGTTATAGGCACATGCCCCAGCGATTGACCCCCCCTTGATTTGCTACTTTTCCAGACTTTCTGGGATTAAGATACTTACACTGTGAATTCAGTCTCACTTGAGCTGTAAGCTCTACCCAGTAGTGCAGACTCTTTCCATGCTCACAGCCACCAAGAGCCTCACCCTGTGTAGACACCTTGTACACAGACGTGACCTGTTGGTACGGCTGTGCCAGGACATTGCACTTTCAGAGACTGCTTAGGTGGCTTAGGAATGAATGCTGGCATGCACTTGTAGAGGGTTCTAGATGGCGTGTCTGTGCGAGGAAGCATCGTGTGGATGAGTCTCTGAGTGTCGTCTTGCACAACTGCCCTGTGTTCTGTGCAGATAATCAATGAAGATGTGGCCAAGAAGACGTGTGAGGAGCACCAGCTCTGTGTCGTGGCCGTGCTGCCCCACATCCTGGACACTGGTGAGCACAGACTGTTTCTCGCTGCTGGCTCCTCAGAGTGCTTCCTGAGTGAAGTGATTTTATTTCACCTCCAATATCTTTTGTTTGTAAACCAGGGGCTGCAGGCAGGAACTCTTACTTGGAAGTTCTTCTGAAGCTGGCTGACAAATACAAGAAAAAGATGTGGGGGTGAGTTCTGAAGCTGAGTCTCCCCTGAGAACGGGGTGCAGGCCTCCTGCCTCTCCCCTCGTGTTCGCTACAGTGTGCACTGTGTTTGCCTGCTTGTGCTTGTCACCAGCCTGTTGCTTACCAGCCGAGACCTAAGTTCAGGTGACACAGGAAATCCATGTGACTTAGTGGACAGCCTTGTAGGATCTGAACACAGGCCCATCCTATGCTCCTTTCTAAGATTTGAATGTAACTCTAGATTCTAATCCAGAAGGCACCCTTGCCCTAAAGCCAGTCTGCTTTCCCAGGTGGCTGTGGACAGAAGCTGGAGCTCAGTCTGAGTTGGAGACCGCACTGGGGATCGGAGGGTTTGGGTACCCTGCCATGGCAGCCATCAATGCTCGCAAAATGAAATTTGCTCTTCTCAAAGGGTCTTTCAGTGAACAAGGCATTAATGAGTTTCTCAGGTAATTTTCAGCTGTTTATTGTCTTACCTGTTGGGTCTTGTTGGTTTATATGCATAACCCAGGCAGTAAGTGGAACTCGTTTGCAGTTAGAACTTAGGAGTAATTGGGTGTTTATAAAATTGAGCTTTTACATCGTTACTCTCTCCTGTGGCAGCACTGTCTCCCTGCCTTACTTGTCATATTGCACGCCGTTCAGGCCTCTGCTAACAACGAGGTCTTACGAGGTCTTGTACACGATGGAGGATGCCTCGTGGCGTGTCTCACCATTCCCACCCTTCCTGTGTACTTGGTCTTACTGACCTCGGGGCAAAGCCCTTGAAGGCTTTGGAATGTATGTGAAAATGAGGATCCTCCTGTTATAGGCAAGCATGATGGGCTCTTAACTCAAAAGCCAGTTTGCAGAGCTCTCCATCCTGCCCTGCTATTCACCTCGTCCTGAAGCGCCACCTACCACTTCTTGGGCAAATACAAGGCATTGACCTAGAGAGGTCAATTGTGTTTCCTGTTCCTGCTTTCTTCCTTATTCATTTCTCAGCTGCCCGTGAAATGAGGTTTTTAACTTCCTGCTTGGTACAAAAGCTGGGGACTGGCCCTGTGTGGAGAGCATCCTGTAAGTGCCTGGACCAAGGGCCACACTGAGGCTGCTGTTTTTAAGACCATGTGCTGTGTTTAATAACATTGAGGGGATGCTGCCTTAAAAGCCTTCCTTTAAGTCCTCTAATAGCAGTAAAAGTAAGTTCTCTAGGATCAGTAAAACATAAAGTGAAAAGGGTACATTTTCCCCAAGCATGGTAATAAATGGAACCCAGAATAATGAATTTTTGTTGTTGTTTCTCAAGACAGTTATTTCTGTATAACTCTGGCTATCCTGGGACTTACTCTGTAGACCAGGCTGGCCTCAAACTCACAGAAATCCACCTGCCTCTGCCTCCAAAGTGCTGGGATAAAAGGTGTGCGCCACCACCGCCTGGCCTAGTAATAAATTTGTTTGTTTAATGGTTTTCTTCTTTAATGTATTCTACAAAAAATAGCATAAAACTAAAGAACCCAAAATAAAAGACAGGTTTTAGCCTGGCACAGTGGTGCATGCCTGTTGTCTGTATACTCAGGAGGTGGAGACAGCAGGATCAGAAGTTCAAGACCTGACCAGCCTGGGCTACAGTAGCCTCAAAACGCTTGGCATAGTGATGCCTGTAGTCTGGCAGCTGGTAGAGACCAGAGGATCAGGACCTCACTGACGTATTTTTAGTAGCCAGATTATATAAGTACTTTTCAAGTGTGGATGTTTATGTCTTACTGGTAAGCGCTTTGTGTATCTATTCTCCCAGCACCAGGCTGGGCTGGTGAAACCGTTCACCTCACTAGTAATGTGCTTTGCAAGCTTGTGGGCTTAGCAGGCAAGGGTCACGGGCAGCCTTTCATGTTTTATTCTTTAAAAACGAGAGGACTTAGAAGTAGCACTTGACTTGATGGGTGCAAGGCACATTGCATTTTGACTGTTAATTCATTGGAAATACATATAAATGTGTTCGGTATTTTTTCCCCCAAGGGAACTGTCTTTTGGGCGTGGCTCCACAGCACCCGTGGGAGGTGGTTCCTTTCCTGCCATCACTGCCAGGGAGCCCTGGGATGGTAGAGATGGAGAGGTGAGTGGCAGCAAGGGGCTTCTCTCCCCAGCTCCTGTCTCTGTACCTGGAAACCAAGTCCACTATCAGACCAAGGACTGTTGTCCTGCCTGGGGCATAACCAGCATGCACCTCGTCTGGCTATCTTCAGTGTTAGAGAAACCATGACTTAGAGCTGGAGAGGTGGCTCAGCAGTTAAGAGCGAGTTCAATGCCCAGCACACACATGGTGGTTCACATCAGTGTACAACCTCGGTGCCCTCTTGTAGCCTCTCTGGGCATTCCATGCACATAGTGCACAGACATACATGCAGGTTACATTCATACACATAAGTAAAGATTTTAAGAAATCACAGTTTAAAAGTCAGGTCAGCTTGGCTTCATGCCTAGAAATTCATACTACACTATTTGAAAGGCTAAGGCAGAAGGATTGCCACGAGTTTGAGGCCAGACTGAGCTAAAGAATGGAGCTATTTCAAAAACAGAAAGGCCAGGTGAGGTGCATGTCTGCAGTCAGCTGTGGGAACCCGAGGAGGAAGAACTGCAGAGCCAGCCTAGGCTACACACCTGCCCCCACCCCCATAGCTTAGCTCAAGTGCTCTGGTTTCCCATCAGAGCCAGGCTGGAATCCTGAATCTGCTTTCTATTGAAACTGTTAGTCATTGGAGGCTCTAACCTACCTTTCTGTCCCAGCTTCCTGTGGAGGATGACATTGACCTCAGCGATGTGGAACTTGATGACCTGGAGAAGGACGAGTTGTGAGGCCACAGCCCAGCCTTCCAATGTCTCTTCTTGGGAGCGGGCAGTTTTCCGGCAGTGAAGGCTCTGGTTAGCTGTCTGCCCTTGGCCTTTCCGGGTAGCACTTGCCAGCCGGCTGGCCACTGAAAACACTGCAGCAGTAAACCTCGGCGTCTCAAGAAAACACTGAAGAATTCTATGAATTGTAGCAGTGAATCGGATTGCATTTTTTGGTATATTTTGAAGCAAGGTGGGTTGTTGAAACATTTCCCTCCTGCTGACTGCTGCTTGAGTGTTCTTGGAGGCTGTTTCTTATGTATAGGGTTTTTAAAATGTGATTCCTTTGTTTGAATATTAATGGCTTTTTCCATTAAAGAATAAAATGATATTTTGGACACTGCTGATAAATGTATGAAGTTAGTGGCACATCATAAAATAGGAGTCTGGTGTTCAGCCTGAAAACTGACCCTGTGCGCTGGTGTCACCTCATCAACGCTTCCTGTGAAAGTGTTTCTAAATGAAGACGAGACCAGGCTGGAGAGAGGACTCAGCCATTAAAGGCTAGGCTCACAACCACAAATGAAGACAAAACCTTTTGGCAAGGGTTTGGTTCTGTGGTAAACTTGGTACCAAGTGAGAGCCACACTCAAGCCCCAAAGTCTTGTCTTCCGGCTTCACCAGTGACACAATGAGGCTCAGGCTTTCAACATTCTCACTGATCTCCCATTAAACACCTCATGAAGACAAGAGACCAGTGGGTTACCAAGCTATTTTCACTTTGTGTAAAACGCTCAGGAGACAGTTTGGAGTTGTGTTAGAACACCAGAAAAGCCTCAGAACTGAGCATTTTATTGTAACTTAAAAAAATAAATACACTCTAACTAACGTCTTTGAGTTTCTCGTGAGTCAGGATCCTGTAGGACTTGGTCGTCTGGCTGTGAGCAAGGTAGGCTGCAGTGACACAGGCTGGCCACCTAGTCCAGGAGGCTGAGGTCGATGTGGAAGTACACGTACGGGAAATAGTCCTGGTTACTGAGCTGCAGTCCAGGGATTTCCACAGAGGCCTATGGAGGGAGCAACGGCAAACACGCGTCTCGTTTCTAAGGGAGCTCTCTTGGGCTCCGGCCACACTTTCTCCTGGGCAGTTGTCCCACCACCATACAGCCCTTGAAAGTGCGTGACACTCGTCACACAGCCTTACTGTGGTGAGTCCCCGAGATACCTACGTCCAGTATGCTTGCTGCAGCGACCTCATCCAAGTGCCGGAAGACTGAATTGAGCACCTCTCTCAGGCGTTTGGTGGCTGACTTTTTCTGGGGCTGCAGAAGCACAGCCTGGAAGTTTACTGGAAGTCCATACCTGCTCGGACAAGACGGACCAAGTGGGTGCTTTGGCCAAGACAGCCTGGCCAGAGCAGAGGAGCAACTCGGGACAGACAAGCGCTTCAGGATGGAGATGGCTCAGTGCTCAAAAGAACCTGTTCTTCCAGAGGGTTCCCGCTTGGTTCCCAGTACCCATGCCAGGGGGCTCACAGCTGCCTGTAGCTCCAGCACAGGAGGTCCCACAGCCTCTGGCCTCTTTGGCCACATGTGATGCCTTAAAAAGTGAATGAATGGCTGTAACCAGCACAGCTTAGGAAAACAGCTATAAAAAGGCACCTGGGCCAGGTCACCAAAGGCTAGAAATGAGACGACTGACTAGATCCCGTCACTGTGCTATTTCTGAAAGTCACAGCTTATGACAAACAGGAGCTCGTGGCCCTGGCCACCTGTGCTGGGCCCTTGCATACTTCGATGGGCAAGCAGCGGATCTGGACTTTACAGGTCACCACTTAGCTGTTGTGTGTCCACTAAGGGACAACAGAAGTCCTGTCAAGGCATATTCCTCTTGCTCAGTTTTGGGGTGTATAGAAAAGATTTTAAGTCTGCCCAGTCATTTCCTCAACAGTCACTGCCTGGGGTGTCCGCTATTCCAGAACAGTGTTCAAGTGCATCACTGAGCCAAGGTTCAGTGTCTGCCCTCGGGTGCCTTGCTCTCACCAGGCAGCAGGGTTTCCCGCCTGAGTCTGCAGGGGAAATGAGTCAGCTGGGATCTGCTTCAGGACTGACTCCCAAGCCTTCCCGGCTTTACTCTGGGCAATGTAACCCTGGAACAAGCCCCTTCCCCTTCTGTCTGCAGAGGGAGGCAGACCTCTGGCGCCTCTGCCTTGGTTGGCCAGAGCGGCCCCTGTCCTGCCTGCCTTCCCTCAAGAAAAGTCCATACTGGCCGGTGGGATGATCATAACATGCAGGTAACCCCGGGTGAGCAGACAGCCCAGCTGCTTGTTTAGAGACGGATGTTTGCTCTTCTGTCCCAAGCTGACAGAAACTTAAGTGATCCTCCTGCCTCAGTGCCCCACCCCACCCCCACCCAGTGCGAGGATTATAGGCATGAGCCACCACACTTCAGGGCCCTGTCAACCTCCTACACATCTTTAGCTTCTCTTTCAGTGACACCCATCCTGCCGACCCTCCTGTGACATTTCAAACGAACATCCTATGCCAGGACACCAGCAGGGCTGGCCAGTTCTACGCCTGTCCTCAAGGTGACACCCCAGGATGCCCCTGCCCCAGACTTCTCGGAGAGAAACAGCCTCTGTGATGAGGTCAGCTGCTAGCTACTGGGCCCAGTTTCTCCACTGCCTCGCCCCACTAAGAATACTGTGATTCAGCATGAACTTGCTCAATCGCTATCCCCTGAGAGCCAAATCTGCACACCCAGTGTCCTGGACCATTTATTCTCCAACCACTGCTCTCCTTTGAAAAGCACTTGCTGTCTGATTGCCTTTCCATGAAAACATTGGGAGTGATATGTATCTGAACAGTAAAACCTTGTGCTGGGGTTAAACAAAAAACAACCCTAAAAACCTACATGGCGCGTGCCTTTAACCCCAGCGCTCAGGAGGACCTGTGTGGGAGTACACAGGTGATACAGGCAGAGCACACGTGCCTGGCAGGAAAGAGCGAGCCCTGGCGAGCAGGACGCATGGCCAACTGGGATTCCTTTGATGAAAAAGACTGGTGATTGCCAAGACACGGCCACAGAAAGCCAAGGGCAGGGGGGTAGGAAGAGGTGGGAGCAGAGCACCAAAACGTCCCCTCCAGGCCCTGCCACTCCCCTGTCCAGCCCAGCATCCCCACCACGCACCTGAGCACAGACTCCACAAACACCCGCAGGGCCTTTATGTGGATCCAGGCAATGAAGGCCTCGCTGAAGTTCACCTTGAGCCAGCGCAGCAGAGGTCCCTGCAGAGATGGGAGAACTCCATGAGCCTTGGGGCAAAGGCCGAGAAAGGACTCACAGTATACAGAGCAAGCCCTGCGGCCAGAAGACAGACCCGGGAGCCAGCAGAAGCAGAGAAGAGCCCGGGGAGGCTCAGGACCACAGCATGCAGGTACCTGGTTCTGGGGAAGCTCTGGGGGCAGCCACCTGCACATGCGAGGGGCCACCTCAGACCAGGGGTGAGAAGCTAGGCAGCTCTTGGCCTCAAGACTGTCACATGAGCAGATAAGACTTGTCTGGCACTACACAGCCGAGACACTGCCCACCTCATCGGAAGGCACTGCCTGCAGGGTCCAGCTCACCCATCTACCAGCTACACCTGCCAGGGGCTCGGCAAGCCTCATCGAGGCCATAGCTGCTGCTGCTGTGCCTGATGTGGTTGTTCCTTAGGGACAGCCGCCATCTGACACTTGTAACTGCTCAACAAGGCCAGAGGTGATCCAGCCAGGGCAGTCAGGGAGGACTGCTGAGCGACCGAACAACCCGCCCTCCAGCCAGAGCCCTGCCCATCACCAGACACCAGCTCCAGCCACCGTCAGCCAGAGCACAGGCATTCCAGCCAGCCGACAAGCCCCATTCCCTGCCTAGAGAGCCAGCTCCAGGAAGACCATAAAGGCTAGGACAGCAGGATTCCGGGCTACTCCAATTTCAGACGTCACAAGCCATAGGAAACAGCACCAAATGCAAAGATTTGTTTCTCAGCTGGGGAGAGAGTTGAGCCGGGTACCCCCAGGGTTCCCAGGGGTGCTTACCTCGCCCTCTCCCTCACTCTCTCTGTCTCTGTCGGTCTGCCCCGCAGCGGGCCTAGCAGGGTTACCTAGCGGGGTTACCTTAACCTTGTGGTCCCGGTAGGTGGCTGATCCCTTTTTAAGAGCAACACAGGATGTTTGCTAAGGGCACAGAAATTACTTATTAATCTTTCAGAAAGCATGTATCATGAGCACAAATAATTCTCATGGCCTGGAGGGCGTGTGCAAGCAAGCTCTGGAGTCCAGGCTCAGAGAGGGGTGTGGCAGGGGTCCAAGGCCTGTGATTTCAGGCAGTAGGGACGGAGAAACCTATGTATTTTCCTGGGTCAGGACCCCAACAGCAGCAGACAAAACAGCTCCCAGAAGTATTACTGAACTGTCCTGACCTAGGAATCTCATCTATCTGGACCCTGACACTCAGGAACAGCCTCATCTGTGGTGTTTGTGGAACACTCACTTCAGCATGTCACCTATAGGACCTTAGTCAGGCATGCAGCCAGGCCATTTGACCCCTTATCACCCTGTCTGCAAATGGGTAGAAAACACGGGTTAACTCAACTGTGTGTTCCCAGAGCAATCCAGTCCTAGCCTCCAGGGGACCAGTAACTACAGGATATGGGATGCTTGACTGTATCCACTCCTAAACACATCAAACAGGAGAGATTCTCAGGGTGCTTGGGTGGAGGGGGTCCTCCGTTCGCCAGCAGTTTCTGAGTATCCCCCAGGATACATACACAAGGAGACTCTAGCAAGTTTTCTGGGGCAGTTGGGGCTGCAGAAATCTATGCCATGTAATGACACCACCAGCTGGCAATCTGAGCCCCAAGGAGAAGGTGGCAGGCTTACTTGTGTCATCCTAATACACAGGGTGGGTACCAAACGTCTTACTTCACCTATAGGCTGGGGCCTCATAATCTGACCCCATCCAGAGATACTGCAGGGACCCAGTCAGGGAAGCAACAATCCAGGAAAAGCCCCACCTAAGGGCAAGGCTGGGCATTTGTGATGGGCAGGGTCCCAGGAAGCCAAGGTCAGGCAATGGCACCTGGGCTTCTGTTCTTGCTGGTGACAGCCACTCCTGCCAGAACGTGCCGTGTCTATGCCATTGCACTAAGGAGCTGAACACCCTCAGAGGCTCAGGGCCCAGGCCTCCAGCTAGGCCTTTCATCTTCAGAAGCCTCAGCTAGTGTCCAATTGACAATTGGGTCTGGGCAATACGCATGCGCATGTATGTGTGTGTGAGTGTGTGTGTGTGTGCGCGCGCATGTGCGTATGCATGCACATGTGCGTGCGTGTGTGCATGTGTGCACATGTGTGTGTCCCTTTGTGTCTATGCTCCAGGGAGGAGGCTTAAAAACTCTCGAACACGGGGCTGAAGTTGAAGGTGTCCCTCGGTTGGCAGAGTACTTGCCTACCATGTACTACTACCCTAGGTTCCATCCCCGGAACATAAACTGAGTGTCGTATCATACACCTATAATCCCGGCACTCTGTAGATGTCATTCTCAGTTACATATCAAGTTAGAGGCCAGCCTGGGATACAGGAGACACATGTACAACATAGAAAGACCGGCGCCGTGAACCATCACCGGCCGGGCTTTCCCTCTGAGAAGGAACAGCAGGCAGGTGTGGCTCCAAGATCTACTTCAGGGAACTCAGTGGCTCGTGCTCACTCCCAAAAGAGTGGGTGAGAAAAGCCACTCAGTGGGCAAGAGCAGTCATCAGCCTAGTGTGGGAGGAGGCCTGGGGCAAGCGCTGGGACACAGGTGAAGCTGGGCCAGCCCAGCGGCCCTGTCCTCCCCGGCACACACTTCCAGCTCTAAGAGCACTTCCTCCGACGACTCGAGGACACTCTGCTAACCCCACCTGTCACTGAAGTGACACTAGAAGGTGCTCTCAGGACGCCTCCCTCTGAAGCTGGGGAGGAAGGAGCTGGAAGACACATCCCCCACAAGTGCCCTGAGAGTGCAGCACTGTTCCAGGACACCAGAGTCTGGAAGACACTTGCAGAACCCGAGGTGATGTTCCCAGAGCTCCAGGCTTCCAGCTCACCACCACACTCTCCCTTTTGCCCCAGGCGTGGAGGCTGACTTCTGCACAACGTTTCTAAGTGTCTGTGTCTCAGACAAGCACCCACTCTGCTCTTGCTCAGGAGAGGTAAACACAGGTGCTGGTGACACCCCGAAATCTACACGGTCACAGACGACAGGAAATCAGTGGTGACACCAGCCACTCTAGGCACAGATGCTTCACCCTGTGCCCCTGCCCCGGCTGACCGGGTACACGTGGGCATCTCACTCGCTGTGCAGCAGATAAGCCCTGATAGAGGACGGTGACCCAGGTAGTTGTGAGCTGTGTCAGAGAGTGAGGCTCAGCACATACTCCATGTGGACTCACGTGTGCCTTGACAGTGTGAGCCCAGGAGATGGGAACAGTTGACACTGGCCCCCAGAACACTGGAAGCGTACCTCAGCTGTCTAGAGAGCCCCTCCCGCACCCTGGTACTCACATACTGTTGTTTCTTATCAGACAGCAACCTGGTCATCTCCTCCCTTTCTCTTTTAATTTCTTTTTCATCATAGTAAAATTCCCGGACAATGAACCTTCAAAAAAGCAGCCATAGCTGTCACTGAGAACCTGGCCAAGGCAGATTCTCCCCAGAGACTCACACCAAACCCAAGGAGCCCGTGGACCACGCCCTTACTTGTTTTCTTTCGCTTTAACTTTGAAATCTTCAGTCACTTTTCGGAAGAGTGTCACTGTGAAGAGGCCAGCCTCATTGTCCTCGGCGATCAGTCTAAACAGAGAAGTGTTTATTGGCTGGATGACCTAGGGTCGCTCCACTCCAGGCTCTGAGCTCAAGCTAGGCTAAGAGGAGCTCTCCCTCTACCTCAGGAGGCCATTCCCCACTGGCAGAGTCACGGGCTGGGGACCAAGGGTGATCTGACAGTTTCCTAGGACTGGCCCTCACCCCCCTGCCAGACTCAGCCTTGAAAGCCCCAGCAGAGTCTCTGGTTGGGAGTGACAGGGTGACAGGAGTGCCGTGTCGCTCTGTCTCACGCTCCTCGAATGGCTGAGTGATCCAGCCGCCACAGGGCCTGACACCGCTGCTGGCTACGTAGGTTCCAGTGAAGTCAAGTGGCCAGGGCCACTCCACTTCCAATGTCATGGCCCTAAGTGGACATGTCACTGCCAGCATGTGGCACAGGCTGCTGGAGTCACTGTTCCCAGCAGCACGGGACAGTGGCCTGAGCAAGAAGTCTTGGAGACCTAAGCATGTCTGGTTGGAGACACACCTCTCCCATGTCTCAGAGCTCACACCCATAGGAACTGGCCCTGAGCTCCAGACCTTCCCAGAATCCTTGGTGAAGGCTCTCAAGCACTCTGAATCATGAGTGGGTTTCTGCTCTGTGGCCCTAAGTCCTGCCATACTGAATGTGGGGGTTTAGTAGAAATGGCCCCCATAGACTCGTGTGTTTGAATGCTTGTCCCATAGAGAGCAGCACTATTACAAAGTGTGGCCTTGTTGGAGTAGGTGTGGCCTTGTTGGAGGAAGATATCACTGGAGACCGGCTTTGAGGTCTCATATGCTCAAGCCAGATCTAGTGTGGGTAGTCTCCTGTTACCTTGGATTAAGATGTACAATTCTCACTGCCTCTCCAGGACCATGTCTGCCACCATGTTTCCTGCCATGACAATAATGGACCAAACCTCTGAACTGTAATCCAGCACCATTTAAGGGTTTTCCTTTACAAGAGTGGAGCGGGGGCGGGGAATTGGAGAGATGGCTCAGTGGTTAAGAGCACTGACTGTTCTTTCAGAAGACCTGGGTTCAATTCCCAGCAACCACATGGCAGATCACAACTGTCTGTAATTCCAGTTCCAGGGGACCTGACATCCATGGCAAAGCACCAATACATATAAAATAAAAAATAATAAATTAAAAAAAGAGTGGAGTGGTCAAGACACAGCAATAAAACTCCAAGACACTGATTGTCATACAAGGATCCCAGAGGCAATCCTTAAGAACAGAAGAAACCTGTTTACCAGGCAGCTCCTGGCTGTTGCTACCTGCCCACGGAAGATGAACCTCCTCTTCAAGCTCTTGCTCCCCCAAACCTGAGGCTGTGACTAACCTGTTCCTTGCAGCCCCTCAATTTAGCTCCTGGTGGCTATCTCCTGGGAGTTGGTGGCATGTTCCTCAGGGCCAGGATGGGATGGGATAGGGTGGATGAGGGTGAGGTGGGAGAGAGTAAGATGGGTGGGATGGGGTAGTGGGAAGAGGGATTGGATGGGGAGGGATGGGGGTAGAGAGGGATGAAGGGCTAGGGGGGAGTGAGGTGGGGTGGGGTGAAGCAGATGGAGTAGGTAGCGTTGGACTGGATGGGGTGGACTGGGGGTGGATGAAATGAGATGGGGATGAGGTGGGGTGGGGTGGGGTGGGCCGCTCTGGGTGCACTGCGGTGGGGCAGATAATTGAGCTCATGTTACTTGTGGCTCACAAGTAAATTTCTTATATGGAATACTTAGGACCACAAACAAGTCCCACACAGTTAGGAGTCCCCTAGGCCCTGCCCCACTGAACTAGAAACATGTCTTCTTATTACTATGACCCTGCTGGTGGCTTTTCTCATTCCCTGCGACTCTGCTATGAACCGTACCATGGCCCAGGCACCAAGATATTCCTGTCACACTTTTTTTTTTCTTCTAGGTAAATGTCATGGTTCTCTGTATACCTGCTGTGGTAATATGAATGGCCCCCAGAGACTCAGATTTCTTGACTGCTTAGTCATCAGGAAGTGGCATTCTTTGAGAAGGATTAGGAGGTGTGGCCTTGTTGAAGGAAGTGTGTCTCTGTGGATAGGCTTTGAAGTTTCAGAAGCCCACATCAGGTCTAGGTGTACATTCATTCTCTCTCTCTCTCTCTCTCTCTCTCTATCCCTCCCTCCCTCCCTCCCTGCCTCCCTCCCTCCCTCCCTCCCTCCCTCCCTCCCTCCCTCCCTCTCTCTCTCTCTCTCTCTCTCTCTCTCTCTCTCTCTCTCTCTGTGTGTGTGTTTCTGTCTTTGTCTCTCTGTCTCTGGGCCTGTGTATCAGGGCATAGCTCTGAGCTGTTATTCCAGCACCGTGTGTGACACCATGCTCCCTGCCGTGATGAAAATGGACTGAACCTCTGAAACAGTAAGCCAGCTCCAAGTAATGCTTCCTTTTATAAGATTTACCTTGGTCATGGTCTCCTCACTACAGTAAAAGTGACTAAAACGCCTGTCAACAGCTAACGTTTGCTCCTTCTCCAAGCGATCTGTGATGTGTGTGGTTACGCTGCTCTTTTTCCATGGCAGACACAAATTCAACCCAGTCCTACCCATCGTGTTTACAGTGCTTGTTCCTGGTCTGACCCCAACTGGCCACACAGACTCTGGGACCAGCCCTAGGCTGTCACTCTGTTCAGGCATTTGCTCAATAGCCTCCACACAGCTCCCTGTTAGGTGAGGCAGGCAGATGTTTAGTAAAGAATACAGAACAGGCAGGCAGAGAACACAGAGGCTGGGCCGGAAGCAGCCAGAGCAGCCTTCCCAGAGGGGGGACGGGGGACTAGAGCTTTGAAGGACAATGGCAGACAGGAATGTCCCAAGTTGCCAGGAGGGAATTCCAGACCTCAGGTAAGGTGCTGTGAGGTGCCCCGTCCTCGGCACATGTCTGGTGTTCCCCTCTGGGGATAGATGTAGACTAAGCTGAGGTCTCACTTACTTGGTTGACCGAGGGACGACCATGTCCGATAGGGACTCATATGTCTTCTGCCATTGTGCATAGCTTGACCTGTGAAGGCAGACACAGAACTGTTGAGGGATTTGGGAAGAGAGGGCTTCTGTTGTCTCAGGAAACTGCACCTTCTCCTGAAGACTGACCGTCAGGAAGTGTAACCAGGGAATGTCGCTGGCATCCCCGAAGCTCCTGCCATTCATTGCCCAGTGCCATACTGAGCCCCGTCTGCATGCCAAGTCCCAGGTCTTCCCAGTGATTGTTTGATCCTGGTCCAGGTGACCTGGGACCAAGGGAATGGCCTTCCTAGCCTCAGGTCAAAGGGAGTAGTACCCTCAGGCTTCTTGTGGACACAACATAGGCACCCAATAAATGCTCTGTCACTGCTAGCATCTCCCTGGTTCTGTGCCTGTGGAGACAGTGGTCCTCCATGGGCCCTGAGCAGCAATGTCCGCTGACCTGGGGTCAGCAAACACAGGGGCCCACCTCCCTTTCCACTGAGCAGCAACCCTACCATCCTTCTACACACATACTTAGGGACGATGACCAGAAGGGTTATGAGATATTCCGAATCAAGTACGAAGTCTTCTTTGCTGACGATATCGCTTAGCGTTCGAGTGAAGAGGTTCCCCCTGGAAGGCAGAGGGACATCGTGTAAGCCCAGCAGAGAGGCTCACTGACCCCGCATGCCTATAGAGTCTAGACAAGCAGCAGGAAATGGAGCAGGCTCAGGGGAGTCTGCAAGCTGTGTGCCAGAGCCAGGTACAGCCAAATTGTAAGTGAGTACCTCCTCTTCCCTCAGGGCCAGGGAAACTGGCAGAGCCTCTGCAACTATCTCCTGTCACTCAAGGGCCCCTGAATCTAACACCTCAGTGACCTGCACTGTCCTCAAAAGCCAACTCAGGTGCTGGGAAGGGACCTCAGGTGTCAGGCAGCTAAAGTTATTCAAGTATCAGGACAGCAAGGTCTCCAAGTTGCATGGGACAGATAGGCCTAGATAGAGCTAGCTCTGTGTCACTTTACAGGCCACTCACCTGAAATAGCTTTGTCTACGCCACCAGCTCTGACTCAGGTGAAGAGCGTGGTGTGGTTACCATGCTGTCACACGGACAGACGCAGCTACTGAGACAGGCGGTTCCCCACACTGCAGAGTCCTAGCCAGACAGTCCCCAGAGCGTGGAGGCTGCAATGTGAACCCCCTGCTTCCCACGTCCCAAGCACAGAACCAAAGGCAAAGCCTCAAAGGCAAGAGAAAAATCCCATCCTTCAAGGGGGTCTGCTCTGCTGCATGTACCACCACCACACAGCTGCGAGGTCATGGGCACAGGCCAGTGGGTCCCCTCCAGAGGCACCCTAGGCACAGCCACCCTGTCACCACAGCAAGCACATTATCCTGCTAGGAGGCCTATCGCTGGTTCATAATGCACCCAGCCCAAAGCAGCAAGCCCACAGGTTTGCTGAACGAGTAACTGTGACTTTGCAAGTGTGGAGACGGTTTCGCTTTGCTTTATGTCTGTAGGGCCTGAGGACATTGTGAGCGCTTTAAATGTACACCAAAAGAATAAACAGAAGAGAGAGTCGGCATCTGATTGGTGAAGGAGGGGGAATCAGGGACTGTATGGGAGAAGAGGTTAGATCAGTCACCGCTAAAGTCCCAATTCCCTAACTACACTTTTTATTCATTTACTGTGTGTGTGTGTGTGTGACAGAACATTTGTGGAGGTTAGAAGACAACTTGCAGAAGTTAATTATTTCTTTCTGCCAGATGCGACCCATGGATTGAACATGTGGTAGGTACCTTTACCCACTGATCCATCCTGCCAGCCACCAAACTGTCTATGATGTGGTGGTTAAGTGAGTGGGTGAACCACCATGGTCTGGACCCCAGGCTCAGGCAACTAGTGCCCACCTGACTCATACCCACCACTGCTCATGCCCAGTCACCTAGAGACGGAGCCAGACAACTGAAACGGACTTTCTAAGCTGTGCATCTGTGTCCCCATCCCCCCCATCCCCCCAAGCCCACCTCATCCCACCCCATCCCCACTGATGGACGTCAGCCTCCACATCCCCTCTCTGCTTGGATTTGGGGTTGTTTTGCTCATTTGAATGTTTTCTTGGATAATGAGCTTTCCTGGAGGTAGGACGCAGGTCAAAGCAGAAACCCCTTGGCCTCATACGGGACTCATACAGTAGCCTGCACGGAAGCTTACATGGCAGTTTTAGTGTTTGTGGTCATGGCCGTGGCAGAGCCACTGGGTCAGGTATGGGACCTTCCACTTAAGGACTCACGTTGATGCTTAAAACTTCTCTGAGTTTGGAGCATTTCTCATTTTGCATTTTCAGGTTGGGAATGGTCAATCTGACTAGAAAAACTGGCCCAGGGAAGATTTAAGAGGGAAGCTTAAATAAGAGGTACCAAACAGAGGGAGAGCAGCTGGCTCCGAGCTCCTGGGTCACTTGGCTTTTCTGGACTCAGATTCAGGATCTAGAGGTGAGTGCTCCCCCTCTCACTTGGGAGCCTGCCTGGCTCCTTCCTCGCTACCATCCCCCAAACAGTCCTTGGTGCTCCTGAGCTTACTTTTCTATTGATTCCACCTCCGTGGAGCCTGCTCTGAGGGGGCCTGAACAACCCCTTCTCTCCATAAAGCCAGCAGACAGTCAGGGCACCTGAGGTCTTGCAGCTGTCCATCAGGGGCTATCTATGATCCAGCCTGGGCTGTGGCCCATGATTCTATCTACCTTGTGTAAGGAGGTCTGGGCTCTAACTGCAACCTCCCTCCCCCCCCACCCCCACATTGACAGGCCTGAGCAGGCTCCCTAGAGCCTCCTGCTGGGTAAGGATGGGGACAGAAGGAAAGAAGGAATGAGCAGGAAGCAACCTCGCACCCCTCCGTGTTCACAGGCAGTGGTGGCCACCCTGCCTGGCTCTGTCCTCTTCATCTGCCCCAGGTTCCTAGCACACAGCTCCAACTGTCTGAAGCCAAGGGAAGGTAAGAGAAGAGGACACCACCACCACCCCCCCCGCCAGCCCCCATCAATGCATGCACAGAGAATGCAATGGGTGTGGTACTCACTTGGACTTCTTCTCCAAGTTCTCCAAGTTGGCCTTCAGAACGCTGTATGCAGCCGTGCGGGACTTCAGGTCTGTCTCGATTTGTGCCAGTTGCTGGGAGGGAGGGGGGGAGAGACGCTCCTGGTGACCTTGAGGAGTTAGTGAAACTCTTCAAAACCTGGCCAAGCATCCATGGGACACTTAACAACAGTGACCAAGGCAGCCACTGGGGCTCATTCCTGTAATTCCAGCACGTTGGGAGGCAGAGGCAGGCAGACCAGTTCGAGACCATCCTCAGCTACACAGCCAATTGGAGACCTAGGCTATGAGAAACCCTATCTCGGGATAAAGGAGGAAACAGAAACGGAAGAAAAACAGCAACCTGCCTGCTCACCAGGGTGGCCCCATCTGTCTCCCTCCCGACTCTCCCAAACCCCCAGCAGCTGGGCCTCATAGTCAGTCCCCACGTGGGAAAGTAGGTAGAGACAACCTTCCAGGTACTGAGGTGCCAGCCTCACAGTGTGCAAGGGATGCTGACTTCCAGGCCTTGGGTACCTCTGCCAGCAGGGTAGCCCGTGACCTATCCTGCCTTCCACGCTTACCACCCGTGCTCAGCCTCCCAGGGTTGACTGAGCCTCCTCCCCTGTAGGGGCACAGTAACTGAGCACCTCTGTTCCCTGCCTCAAGCTCCCCATCTACTCAACAGGGGAGAAATGCCATCTTTAGGAAGGCCCCAAGGACCGTAGGTCACAGTGAAGAGTAGCTCAAGACTGTGCTAAGTAAGCTTTCTGAGGCCGGAGGGCAGCAAGTGATTGAGAGCCTCAGTGAGTCCCTCCCAAGGGCTGAGCTCTGTGGGAATTTACGGATAGTTCTGGCCTCCAAGGGCTCACAGCAGACCTGGCCCTGCAAAGACACAGCTTGACAGTGAGCACCGCCCTGCAGCCATAACCACAAACAGGTGACTGTGTATTTGATCATGCATGGCCGTGTGCCAGCTGACAGAAGCCGTGGGTACTTTAGAGCCTGTAAGACCAAAACACAAGGCGTCTGGCCATCCCTTGGTCACCAGTTTGGCAACGGGATGCGATGAGGGTATCTCTGCCCGACAATGTGTGCCCATGCTGTAGGGCAGAGCACGCTTCTGCTGGGGGGGGGTATTGAGAATCATGGGATGAAACCAACTATACCATGGAAGTTCCGAGTTAAATGCTCAGAATAGACATCCAAAAAGGAGCACATTCCTAAGACGTTAAAAAAAAAAAGCTCCACAGAGATCCACGTGCTTTGTGGGGTTTCCTTCGCTGATGGCATCCCCCTGCATAAGTAGGGCTGCACAGCTATGCCGTACGCTTGGACCATACCACATGCCACACTCAAGGTGCAGCCATGCCATATGACTACAGGACAATGTGCTATACAAACTGTACAGAGCCCTAAGCCACCTCAGAAGAACAAGGCAAGGATGGGCTGATACACAAGCTCTTAAGGCAGCGTGGACCAAAGATCCAGTCTCCCCCAACCTCTGTTGCTAGCCTGCAGGAGCTGGTTCCCTGTGGATGAAGAGTGGAGGAGTCAATGCACACTACACCCCTTGTGGGATCTGATCTCCTGACCCACGTCCCCTCCCAGTCTGCTGCTGCTTTCAAAGCTGTACACTTGGGTACCCTGGACTAGAGGGAAGCCAGCTCTCCTCTGACTCCACTGCTCTCTGACTTCCCTGAGCCAGGTCCAGTGTCCCTGGGACTCAGAATCCCAAGTTGGCATGCCAACCTCACAACAATCTGCATCCTCTGGCTCAGTGGTGGACATGTATGATGCTCTTCCAAAAGCCGTCCTAGCACAATGCCCTGGGCTGCCCCTGCTACAAGCACCTTTGAGAACCTCTGCCTGATTGTCTTGGGAGGAGATGTAACCCCAAGGAGCCACACCCAGATTCCCAAAAGACCTGAAGTAGAAAAGGACTCAAAGCCACCCTTCCTGCCCTGACCTGCCGACTGCCCTCAGGGAAGCTCGGCTACTTAGAGAACAGGGCAGCTTTGTTCGGCGTAGAGCTGGGATCTCCCCAGCCACTGGGCCAGCCAGAGACATGACATACAAGGGGTTGTGACTGTATCAGCAATAAGGAAGACAGTCAACCCTCACCATGGTGAAGGCGCATAGAAGTCACCTTGGCTATGGGATGCCCACAATGTCCCTGCAGAGCCCTGTGCTGTGGGAATTGTACTCAGTGCGAGCTGGAGACCATGGCTGAATAGACGGCACTGTGCCATGGGACTGTTTGTTGTTACAAGACACTTAGGGGATGAGCTGGCACAGTGCGACTGAGGGGTGGGGTTTCTAAGCCACACTGTCCTCTAAAGCAGTGAGGTTCTGCAAACCATTTCCCAAGAGAGCCAGGCCTGGTGCCCAAACCCTGTGATTCCAGCTACTAAGGAGACTGAGGCAGACGGATAAAAAGTTGAAGTCTAGCTTGAGTGACTGGACTAATTCAAGGCCAGCCTGAGAAACTTAGTGAGACCCTATCGCAAACTAAAAATTAAAAGGGGTCTGTGGTAGAATGCTTAAGTGAAAGACTCTGGGCTCCACATCCAGCACCACACAATCCATCAATCATCAAAGGGGCCTGGGGCCTCCATGTGCACGGTGAGGGAGGCGAGACTAAGCCTTCCCATCACAGTTTCTGAATCACAGTAGGGGAGTGAAATGAATTATGGTTTGGGGTCAGAACACGAGGGCTTCAGGCCCATCTGGTGGACTCTCCTGTAATGTGACAGCCAGTTCTCTGGGTGACAGGGACAGGAAACAAGTACACTAAATCTCTCCTGAGTTCTAACCTTAACCCAGGGCATGGTAAGAGGGACCTACTCTGGGTCACTTCTACCTTGCCGGAGTCCCAGCTCCATGTATGTCACCTCGGGTGGTCAGATGTCTCCAAGCAGACTCTCCTCACCTTGGCCAGTGTGTCCACCACGCTCACCAGTGGCTGCTTGGCAGGATATTTGGCCATGTCCCACTCGAAGTGCGTCACAAAGGATGTCAAGTCAACTGGAAGAGCAAAGACTAACTTGAAGCCAGAACCAAGTTCAAGGGAGACAAGGAAGCTTGTTGTTCACACCACGGAAGCAGTCAGGGAGAAGCTGAAGAGCAGGCGCGGGCTCTGGAGGAGCATATGTTCCACGCGGGAGCAGTTCAGAGTCAGTGGGGGCATCAGCTCGCCATCACACAGCCCAAAGCGGAGGTGCAGCATGAGCCCCGAGCTCTCCTTCTACAGTTTCCACCTGGGGCTTGCTATGAAACCTGTGGCCACTGGGAACTTCTCCACCTTCAACAGTTGCGGGGCCTACCCTCCCCGGCTGGGTCACCAGTCTGTTTTGAGTCATCCAAAAGGCACACCAGAAAGCATCAAACCAGGCCCCCAGCCACCCAGCCACGGCCTGTCACAGGCGCCACCTGCTGGGTGAGAGGCCCCTGCTTCTTGAGCCCCAACAAGAGCAAGGCAACGTTAACCCACACCGCCCACTTTAAGGAGGGCATGTCACTGTGCAGCCACACCCTGGGACTGGCTTGTCACTGGCTTTCCCACCTGGAGCCATGGGCGTCATTCCGCATGTGCCTGTTGGAGTCTAGAGTGAACAGAATGTACCAGTGTTTTCACTAAAACCAAACAAATTCCACGGCAAAGGAGGGTGTTCCTGCCCACCCTAGCCAGCTGTGCAGTAGAGGATGGGGGGAGCTGAAGGTGGTTCAATTGGTCTGGCACATTTTTAGTCCAAGGAGACTGGATGATTGTGATATTCAGTGTGGGCTTTTCTGTGTGTGTGTGTGTGTGTGTGTGTGTGTGTGTTTCTTTGACACAGGGTCTCACTGTGTAGCTCTGGCTGTCCTGGAACTCGATATGTAGATCAGGCTGGCCTCGAACTCGCAGTGATCTACCTGCCTCTGCTTCCCAGCAGAATTACAGGTGCGTGCCACCAACTCGGCTGTGATACTTAGTCTTCATTGTCCGCTGACACAATCTAGAGTCACCTGGGAGGGAGGGGTCAGTGAAGGACTGTCTGCATCAGGCTGGCCTGTGGGCTTGTCTGTGGGAAGCCCCGCCCACTGTGGGTGGCACCACTCCCTTGGCTGGGGTCCTGGGCTGTGTAAGTGTGGAGAGGAAATTGAGCAGTTGAGCAAGAGACGCACACTCGCGTTCCTCTCCGCTCTCGACTGCGGGTATGACTGGCTGCTTCACGTTCCTGCCTTGACTTAACCTCAGGGTTGCACCGTGACATTCAATTGTCAGTAAAACAAACCCCTTTTTCTCTAAAAGTTGCTTCTGTCATTTTCTTTTTATTATCCCAAATGAAACCAGGACATTGGCTTAAGTCCCAGATCCCAAGAAAGAGAGGAACTGAGTCAGTTTCCTACCTGAGAAAGTGGTCAGACCACTCACCCCGAGGGCTTGCTTGTTTTGTTTTGAGACTGTCCCACTATGTAGTACCAGCTAGCCTGGGACTCAGTATGTAGATCAGTCTATACTCAAACTGACAGAGCTTCACCTGCCCCTGCTCCCAAATGGTGACATTACAGGGTTAATTACTCTTATACTCCACATATCCAGAGAGCACCACAGGAGCATGTTATTTCTTCTTCGCCCTTTTTCTTTTTTCTCCTTATTCTTTTTTGTTCATTTTTTGTTTTGTTACTTGAGACAGGGTTTCTCTGGGCGACAGCCTCAGGTGTCCTAGAACTTGCTTTGTAGACCTCTGCTCCTGAGTGCTGGGATAAAAGTTGTGGGCCACCACCACCCAGCTTTTACTCCTTTGGAGATGGGGATTTCTTTTTGTGGCCCAGGCTGGCCTTGAACTCCTGGGTCCAAGTCATCCTCCTGCCCCAGTCTCCCAAGTAACTGGAATGACAGACAGTCCCACACTTTCCAAGGCGGGACTTCCCACCACAGGTTCTGAACATGCCAGCCCTTCCCTGTGTATGCTTGTCCTCTCTGAAACAACTTCCCAACAGTCACCTTCACCTGGGTATAGAGTCTGGCTCCCTGCTGTTGGGAATCCAGGACAAACACCCTTCCTACCCAGCCTCAAGTGTTCATATGCGTGCCAGGAACAGTTAAGTAAACAATGGAAAGAGATATACCAGGCTCCTAGGGAAGCCACCATGGTTACAATTGGACAGGGACTATCAAGAAGCTGACAGACAGGGGCTGCCTATGTGGCTGTGAGAGTGTCAAGTGTCAGAAGGATTGGTGGTCACATTGAGGGAAGGTGTTAGGAGTCTAGATGAAGCTGATGGAGCAGGGAGGTGGGCAGGAGCTAGGAGACCAGGTGTGAGGTCACATCTGGACCTCCTTGCTTGGAACTGGCCATAGAGAAAGAGGACAGGATTACACAGTGGAAGATTCCATGTTGGGAGTGGACAGGAGCTAGCGAGAATGTGGGAGACAGGAAAGCTGAGATGGACAAGAAGCTCTGGGGACAGAGAGGAGGGGACCCACTCAGCAGGATGCAGGGACAGTGACACACAGGGCATGAAGTAAAGTGACACCCAAATTCCTAGGCTGGGTGGCTAGGTGGAGGGAAGGGCAGTCATTAACCTAAGGACCATGGAGCAGTGGAAGGGACAGGACAGAGGATGGGTTCAGTTTGAGGCAAGCCCAACTTTGATGCACAGATGCATTAATCCCCAAGAAGATGGGAATCAAAGGGGACTCAAGAGGGAAGTGGCCCTACTACTTAACCGGCAGGAATGCCTTAAGATAACAGTGACGATGTGCCAACAGTGAGGAGCTGTGGACTTGCGGCTTACCTTGGGCCGGGATACATGAATCATCTCATCTGATTGACTCTTCAGCCCTATTAAGGGATGTCATTATCTCCATGAGGCAACTCCAGCACAGATTAAGTTATGTAAGCTGCATTACAGCAGGAAAAAATGACACAGAGCACCCAACACCCTGCCCATCACAAAGGAAGGGTCCTTGGTCCCTCTCCCCATTGTGTCCAACTATCAGGGTCCAGCTATATTGCAGGAAGAAGGAGGATCACTACTGGGCTTTTTCCAGAGTGGATGTACTTGGAAGGGGTTTGCAAGAGAACCTCTGTTGGACGTTTAGCCATACTGGTGTTAGAAATTTACACAGCATCTTGGCCTGTGACAAAAGAATTTCTAAGATGCTGGGGGGTGGGACACCAGGTGGGATTTGTGCTCTTGAAAAGGGACATCAGAGAGCTCTGCCCATGGTCACTGCCTCCCGACATGTAGCCAAGGAAAGACTGATGACACAGGCTGTGGCTGCCCATAACCAGGTGGAGTCCTCATTAGAACCTGAAACACCTGGCCAGGTGTGGTGGTGCGCAGCCATAATCTCAACTCCCAGGAGGTTAAAGCAGAAAGTTCGCTTTGAATTCAAGCCTAGCCTGAACCACATAGTGAGTTCTAAGCCAGCCTGGGCCACAGAGTGAGGCAGTGCTGTGGAAGCCTCCATGTGTGTGGAAGCCTCCATGTGTGTGGAACTGTGATAGTGGTCCAAATGGACTGATAAATACTAGTGTAGGCTTTGTCATTCCCATGCCCCAAAAGTTAAACAAGGTCACATGAAGCCTCTTAAGAGACAGCAATGCTTACTGTTGGGAGAGCTTTGGGCAACAGAAAGAACTCCCACTGGTGACCTCAAGCCTTTCCTGAAGGAGGGGAACTAGCAGCCAGGACAGATGTCAGGATGACGTGTTTTCAGGGGCACTCCCTCTCCACCCTTCCTGTCACCTGCAGCATCCTGGAGCCATTTCACCCAGGCCAAGTAGTGCCCAACCTCTCAACTGCTCTCCCAGCTACTCTGAAGGGTCAATGCTGCTCTGAGCTCCGCCGCCCCCCCCGTGTCTCCAGAGCCCATCACAGGACCCCACAGAACCAAGCTCAAGACACTAGCAGCCACGCTCATCCTACCCAAGATGGCCATGGGAATTTACACTCTATAGGCTGACAAACAGAGACACACTTCATAAAAACTCTGCTCTTTATGCCTTGTCACCAGACCCAAGGCATGGGCCTTTCACTCTTAGGACAGCATGTTCCACTGCAGGGTGCAGGACACTGTGTGTCTCTCTCCCACCAGCCTATGACCTCCAGGGGCACTCGGAGGATGACAATGGTTTCCTGCAGGAGCTCGGTCAGTAGGCCTCTGGCTTGGTGGCTATGCCCTCTTCCTCCTCATTCCTTTCTCATGTCTCCCACTTCAAAGCTAGTTCTGGACACTAACATTTGCTCCAGATCTCAAGTCCTTCCCTGTCTATATGTTAGGCAGGCGTATTCCTCCAGAGTGGCCTCCGTCACCCCTGCCATCTCAAAACACACTCCCTACAGGTGGCTGTCTCTTGAGCAACATCAGAAAAACCAAGCCAAAGCCTGGCCAGCATACAGGATTATGAGTGCATGGGCGGCAGCCCCATGCCTGCCTAGCCAGACAGGTCTTCCACGGCCCAAACCGGACACATGTGTGTCTACTCTGCTTCTACTAGATTCCCATGGGTCTAGGATTTACCATGCTCCACCCACCTAGTGGCAAAGACAAACAAAAGCAAAAGGCACCAAGCAAAGCTAAGAGCCTAGACTGTTGCTAAATTCTTTTGCAAGCGGGAAAAGCAAGGCTCAGAGAGTCAGCTGGGCAATAGGGACAGTGCATGGCAAGACCAGGACTGACCCCTTCAAGTCTTTATGACGTCAATGCCCTACATTCTCTCTCGGGATTAAAGCCCCATGTACAGAACAACAGGGAGCTCTAGGAAATGATGTCCCCAGTCTGAGAGTACCCCGCAGAAGAGCATCTTCTGGGAAAGACTGAGTTGAATGAAGTTTTAAAAGGTCTCTTGACCCTTGCTGGACTTCCTGGGGGGTGTCAATGCAAAGGTGTAGCCTTAAGGTTGGCCTGCTACTGTAGGCAGTGCCTCATGGTGCTAGCAGGCCTTTGGCAGGGTCGGTTCACAGGACATGCTCAGAAATAGCCTTGGAGTGATTGGTACTAACCCACAGATATCTTGCAGGGGCCTCAAGATAACAACACATGCTAACAAGCAACAAAAACCAAGTTTCCTCATCCTTTAGTGTGTTCTGACTTAGAAACAGTATATCCCACATAGAACGACACCTACATTTAAGTGGCATCAATTTTGAGTTGAAAGCTAAGTGGATGGGTTTGTTTGCTTTTCAGGGTTGGTTTGGTGCAGTGCTGGGGTGGAGCTCAGGGTCCAGTGCTTTGATAGGTAAACACCGCCCATGAGCCATATTCCCAGCCCTGGGATATAGTAAGCATTTTGGTCAGCATTTTAGTGTAGGCTTAAATAAAACATAAACCAGGTGTGGTAGTACACACCTGTCATCCCAGCACTTGGGAAGTGGAAACAAGATGGTCAGAAGTTCAAAGTCACCCTCAGCTATACAGTGAGCCTTAGGCTAGCCTTGACCACATGATACGTTCTCAAAAAATAACATGAACTAATATTACTTGTTTTTGTTTTCATTCTGCCTGTTACAGCAGATAAAACACTAAGCCAACAGTTCTTTCTTACAACTACACCAGGAGTGGCCTGTTCTAGAAGACTCGTAATCCATGTGAACCTCGTGAACCCCATGAAACAAGGCCTGGCTGAGTTGGCATCCTTACAGAGAAGGTGGGTCACCGGAGACAGGCCTCAAGGTCAGGCAGAGAACAAGCAAAAAGAGGCCAGAGTTCACCCCAAACCCTCTTTCCAGGTAGCATGCAGGTTGCTCAGGAGACGCAGGGAGGACGGGAGGGAAACAGGAATGAAACATCTGTGAACTGCATGGCCTGGGTATGGTGACCAAGCTCAAAAGTGACTGCTTGAGAAACTGTTGAAGCCTGATCACTGTACCCCTCCGACCAGCCTGAGGCCCCACCCTCCTGGGGACATGCAGCGACACACTAGGCATGTGCACAGCAAACAAGACACAACCTACTCTTTAAACATCTCATCTTTTCCTTCAGACCTGGAACATAATACAAGATAGGATCGTTAAGCTGCAAAGACCTGGAACATTATAAGATGGGGTCATTAAACCACAAAGACCGGCAGCTCGAGGTTCAGAATGGCCGATTTAAACCAGTAAAAGACTTCAGACGTTTCCAGATGACACGCCTGTGTGTTCATATATGCTACTTATATCCCGATGATGTAACTGTGAATATGTATGCTCTCATTTTCAACAAATATGTACAGAGTCAAGGTTAATTCTCTCTACAGATATGTAAATATTTAATTTTAGAGTTATCAAAGTGTCTCAAGTTTTTATTTCAAGTGTGTGTTTTTTGGGGGGGTTGCTTTTATAAATATTTTGAGACAAAATCTTAGATAGCCCAGGCTGGCCTTGAGCTTAGTAAGTATCTCAGGATGTCCTTGAACACCTGATCTTCCTGCCTCTACTTCTCCAGTGGTAGGATTGCAGGTGTGTGCCACCATGCCTGGGCTTCAAAGTCTCCACGTTTTTGCTACACATTTAGAATACAGCCCAAGTGGCATATGCACACTTAACAGCCAAAGCAGCACTGGGGTATCTGAATGTGTATCCATCAGCATGGGTAAGCCAAAACTTTGGAACGGGAACATTCCACATGAAGTGTTCTTGACACGACCCTGCTGCCTGTGGTTGGAGGCATTCCTCAGTGCATGCAGCCACATTCCATACCTTGCTTGGTAATAAATAATGATAAGTGGGTGGAGATGTGTGAGATTTCCCACAGACGGGGTGGTAAGGCTTAACAGACCTGGATATTCAGAGCTCCCATTGTGGCCACCATGAGGGACACGGTTCCAGGGGAGGAGAGACCTTGGGGGACCTACCTCCGTTAGCCAGGAGGTTCTCGTGGACTTTGCCCTTGGAGTCTTCCATGACCTCCACCACGCTCTGAGCCATTCTCTTTATGAGGCTAGGGCAGACAAGAGAGAGTTAGTGAGGGTGAGGAGCTCCCTGCAGGACCACTCCGCCCAGCCTCCTGGCAGGGAAAGGAGCCCTTGAAGCCACCGGGGGTAAGAGTTTGGCAATCTTAAGGAGAGACTTAAAACATTAAGAACCTTCGAACCAGTCATTCCACTTCTGGGAAACCATCTTGAGGAAACAGGAAAGAACCCAGAAAAGCTCTCTGAATAAAAAGATGTTCTTTGCAGCAGGGCTGCTGACAATAAGAAGCTGGAAGCAGCCCGCAGGTTCAACAATAGAGGATTGTTTGAGGGATGGTCTATCCAGCTCAGGGATTATTAGGCAGCCATTGAAAATGAGGTTTACAAAGAATTTCAAATACCGTGGAACAAGGCACACATTATAATGTCAGATAGAAAAAAACAAACAAGACAGAAACTTAGTAAGACAATCGCTGGCTGTGCTATGGGCAAATATTTCTACTTGATATTTTTCTAGAATAATCTGGTATTGATTTTATAGAAAACTCAAACCTTGGGCCTCCAGTAAACATACTAAAAGGATTCAAGCCATATACCAGATCACAGATGGAAGATGGAATATGTTCCCTTTCACTTCCATTCTCTCTCTCTCTGTCTCTCTCTCTCTCTCTCTCTGTCTCTCTCTGTCTCTCTCTCTCTCTGTCTCTCTCTCTCTCTGTCTCTCTCTCTCCTTCCCTCCCTCTCCCACTTATCCTCCAACCGATACAAGGTCTCCTGTACCCCAGGAGGTCCCCAAACTCACTATGTAGCTAATGATGCCCTGAAATTTCTGATCCTCTTGTCTTTGCCTGCCCAGGACTAGGAATACAGTCACGCACCCTATGTCCGGTTTTTGTGGTGCTGGGGACTGAACCCAGGGCCTTGTGCATGCTAGATAAACGTTCTACCAGCTGAGCTATGTCCCCAGGTCCAAGGCCTCAGTTATTGCAGGTCCCATTGACCATGCGTCGTATGGTACCTTGGGCCTGCTGTAGGAACTGAGGCAGATGAACCATTGAAAGACCCTGTTGTTGAAAGCAAGAAAGGGAAAGGGAGTAGACATGCTTTCTTGATCATCGAAGTAATCTGATGCAGGGATGAAGTAGTTTTAACTGAACAACCAGAGCACTTGCCTAGCATGTGTGAGGCCCTAGTTTTGATCCCCAGCACTGCTTAAAAAGATATAAATAAATAATTGAATGAACCAGGCTAGAGATACAGCTCAAATGCTTGCCTAGTAGGTAAAGCTCTGGTTCAATCCCCAGCACCACAAAGAATACAAAGTGCCAACTCTCGGTTAGTGGAAGCAGGAGGTTCAGAAGTTCAAAGTCATCCCTGGCTACTTAACAAGTTTGAGGCCAGCCTGAGATACACAAAACCCTGTCTCAAAAAATAAGTAGTAAGGTCAGGCGTAGTAGCATTTGTGAGGGAAAGGCAGGTCAATCTTCAGTTTGAGGCCAGTCTAGTCTACACAGCAAGTTCCAGGCCTGCCAGTGAGACCTAGCTTTAAAAAAAAGTATAGGGGTTGGAGAAATGGCACTGATTGTTCTTCCAGAGGACCTGAGTTCAAGTCCCAGCACATACACAACAGCTCATAATATCTATCACTCCACCTCCAGGGGATCTAACATCTTCACACAGACATACATGCAAGCAAAACACGAATGCACAAAAATAAAAATCACTAAAAAGAATTTTTTAAGTATAAAATAAATTTTGTTTTTGTTTTTCAAGACAGGGTTTCCCTGTATTGCTTTGGAGCCCTGTCCTGGAACTAGATGTATAGACCAGGCTGGCTTTGAACTCACAGATATCTGGCTGCCTCTGCCTCCTGAGTGCTGGAATTAAAGGCGTGCACCACCAACACCCAGCAAATAAAATGTTTTAAAAGAACGACTATTGTCGTCCAAGTACAGGAAACACATCAAGTAGGCATTCTTCCAGAGTATACCTCCCACTTGGGTCAAGTGTGCCTAGGGCTTCTTTGATAACCAGTAGGAGTCTAGGTGTCAATTGCTTTGTAATCATTGTCTTAGCCTCACAAGGATTCTAGAAAGTTGAGTATTATCCCACCTCTTATATGGGAAAACCGGAACAATGTGTTCCTATCAAGTGGCTGCAAGTGGGCTTCAAAGCCAAGGCTCTTGGCCAGGAGGTCACGCTGCATTCTCAACTGTCACTGTGACCTGCCTTGTGTTTAAATGCCTCCCAGCATAGAGTGCTTGCCTCTCTTTGATTGGCAGTAAACAGGATCACTGCAGAGAGCCCTGGCCACAAACCTAACTGAGCTGTTCTCTAGGCCTTAGGCTGGGGTGGTACCGACAGTGGCCCAGTCTTCTTTATGGAGGGAAGGATGCATTCCCAGGCGTTTGCCATGGGAGACTGTGCTTTGGGTGTCTGGCTGACTGCTCTGGGCTCTCTGCCCTCTGGCTCCCAGGTGGATTCAGCAGATCAAAGGGAAACCAAACGTCCAGTCTGCTTCCCTCCGGCAGAGATCTCAGCTCCTGCGGCCTCAGGCTTGTGTCTCAGCCCAGGCCCTGTCACTGTCCCTTCAACTCTGCTACATTCCCACGCTACTCTGGGCCTCTTCAGCACAAGACCTCCTCCAATCACCCTAAGATGAGTGTGCCTCCCTCCTGCCTGACTCGCTAAGGAAATTTTATACACCGACTAAGCAACTACTGTGTACCAGGCAATGCTGCAGACTAAGCAAGGTCCCTGCTGTCACAGAGCTTCAGTTTCAGCGCTGTAGAAAGTTCCTTTTCTTACACAAACCACCGTAGTAACACAAGGGATTGGACCTATTACTGCGCCCATCGCAACCCAGCTAATAATTCCCTACTTAGGTGAAGGAGGTGAGACCCCGGCCGCTACCACATTACCCGGCTCAGCAAAGCCTGCTGAATGAAGACAGAAAAGCGGCACCTCCCAGCCCCTCGCCCCTCTGTGGTTGCTGCTCTCCACCTGAGCCCCTCCTTTCAGAGCGTCACGGCAGCGCTCGTGGCCCCTCGGCACGTACATGGCTTCTGGGGCTTCTCAGAATAGCATGCTCCGATGAAGCTCGATGGCTAGAAAAATCACTTGCTCCACAGAACAAAAGCAACTTGTGGTGATCAGTAACCGGGCTCACCAGAAAATTGCCATGTCATTGAACCAGAACACTTTTTCTCGCCGAAAGGAACTTAAGGGTCTCATGCCACTTTCAAATTTCCCTGTCTCCCTTTACGTCACAAGTGTGCCTCTTTCTTGTCAGAAGCGAGAAGTTTCCTCATGCATTTCATCTATAGTGCAGTATCCCAGCACGCTGCCCTACCACAGGGGATTCCATACCACTAGTTAGCTTCCCATTTGAATTGATGTTGCAGTGGTCCACACATTTTGCCCTCTTGTACAGGTGTGTAGAGAGACTATTGGAATAAAAGGAACGATCATTTATAATAACAGGTAAGGCCGAAGCCCCCTCTACTTACAACAAGCCAATGTCCGCTTCCCCGAGAATGCAGAAGCCTACTTGTTTCCCAATACGCTGGCCAACACCAGCCACAGGAGTCCTTTTAGTCTCTGCCAGTCTTTTAGCTGGAAACCTACATCTCCTTGCCATCCCGATTTGCATATCTGTGATTCCCTCAGGGAGGCTGTTTATCCCTCCTCAGGTCTCCTGACGACAGAAGGCCACTTTCTTCTGTGAGTTACAAGTTCAAATCCATGCCCTGTTTAGTTCTGTTTTCCTCTGTTGCTTCCTCCACGTTTTGGAGACCCGACTCTGGTGACAGTGTATCCAGCTAGCTGACGCCATCTTAACAATGACTTTGTGAGCAAGCGTCACAGAGGAACTGGTGGAAAACTGCAGGGTCAGTGGCAGAGAGAGGAGAGATGAGCAAAGGGGTCAAGACAGGCTGGTGAAACCCACAGAGACAGCTGACCTGAACAAGGGGGGAGCTCTTGGACCCCAGACTGATGACTGGGAGGACAGCATAGGACTGATCCAGACCCCCCTGAACGTGGGTGTCAGCGAGGAGGCCTAGGCAATCTATGGGGCCTTGGGTAGTAGATCAGTATTTATCCCTGGCATACAAATGGACTTTGGGAGCCCATCCCACAATGAGAGATGCTCTCTCAGCCTGGACTCATGGAAGAGGCCTAGGCCCTGCCCTGGATTAAATGACAGACTCTGGAGATCCCCCCAAGGAGGGCCCCACCCTCCCTGGGGAGCGGAGTGGGGGTTGAGGGGCTGGGGAGGGCAGGGGAGGAGGGGAGGGAGAGGGAACTGGGATTGACATGTGAAGCAAACTTGTTCCTAATTTAAATAAAAAAAAACAAAAAACAAAAAACTGCAGGGCCTCTAGAAGTCATACGAGTCTAAAATATCTGGCCAAAGTGAATAGTGAGGACGGGACACATGACTCAGAGACCAAAGCACCTGCTTCCAACCCTAGAGTTTGATCTCTGAGACTCACATGGTAGAGGGAGAGAATAACTCCCTCAGGTTGTCCTCTGACTTCCACACATGAACTATGGCACCTGCTCACGAACACACGCGCGCGCGCGCGCGCACACACACACACACATGTAATTTTCTTAAAATTTAAATTTAAATTTTCCACATGGGAAAATGTATAGATCATATGTAATAAATGTGTAAAAAACTCACATGGCCACATGAATATACGTATTTTTCAAAACAAACCAATTTGTTTACTAAAAATGTACACATTTCACTATATATATTCGCGTGCACGCACATGCACACATGTGTGTGTGTGTTTCTGCATGTACATATGTGAGCAGACACACATGAGTGTCTAGACACATGTGTGAAGGTCAGAGGTCAACCTTGGGTATCTTCCTCAAACACTCCACGCTTTTTTTTTAAGACAGTGTTTCTCATTAATCCTGGAGCTCAAATCCTCAGCAAGCCTGCTTGGCCAGCAAGCCCAGAGCCCTCCAGTGTTTGGCCCATCCCTGGAAATGCGATTACAGACTTCAACTACCTTGTCCAGTCTGTGTCAACAACCAAAAGCACTGGGAGAAGGTGGACCCGCAGGCCCCACAGGCACAGACACAAAGACACGTGAACCTGCACACACACACACATGCAAACCCAGAAACATGCACAGACACAAAGACACGTGAACCTGCACACACATGTGCACCCACAGAACGTGCAGACTCACAAAACTGCAAACATTTTTTAAGACACAAATAGGTTGGAAAGAAAAATAGTTAACTTTGTTTTTAAAACATAAAATAAGTTTAAAAACTGTGTAATAATGCAGTTTCCTATAATTTTATTTCCAATACTTATTTTATCTTTAAGTGTCTGTGTCTGTATGGGTGTATGAGCCTGTCAGGGTGGGGGGTACCCACAAACTATAGAAGAGGAGGCCAGATCCCCGAAGGTGAAATTAAAGGCAGTTGTGGTTGTGAACTTGAACTCAGGTCCTCTGGAGGAGCAGAAAGTACTCTTAACCACTGAGCCATCTCAGTGTTTTGATTGTTTGTTGTGTTTTATTTTATTTTATTTTTGAGACAGGGTTTCTGTGTGGCCCTGGGTGTCCTGGAACTCACTCTGTAGAGTTCCCTGTAACTCAGATCTGTCTGCATCTGACTTCCGAATGCTGGGATTAAAGCTGTGTGTCACCACCTCAGACCCTGGTTTATTTTAAATAGTCTCATTTGTATCTTACTGTGTCTTACATACTCACCGATTTGTAGCAGGGTGTTTATTTTAATGAGAATTGGAAACCTTAAAAAAGAGTATGTGAACATACATGGTAAAGGAAAGCCAACATTAAAGTACTAAGATGGTTCCAAAGTGGTACAGAGCCTGACTCTCTACCCCTCTTCAAAACACATATGACATTGTCCCTTATTTGCTTGTTGTAGCCGTCACTAGACCTGCAATTTAGAACTGCCCAAAGCCTGTCAGAGAGTTAATTCCATTTCCAGGCTAAAACTGCCTTTATTAACACAGTGGAGTGATTTATAAGCCTACCAGCTAGTGTTAGCTCATTAGTTTTCTATGCACCATGAAGACAGCATGCAGACTTAACTTTTTTTCAGTTCTGTCTACTTGAAAATTGCAGTGTGCTCTCTCTGATGGTTAACTGCGTTAGTACCATATATAACAAATAAAGACTTATTGAAATAAAAATGAAGTATGTGAAAACAAGATCTCGGCCCCAAAAGTAGCTCCCCCAAGGCCCAAGCACAGAACTGCAGCTCCCCGCCCTAGGGTGCAGATGGAAGAGGTCTCAGATCCCCAGCTCTCTAACCACAAGCCAGGAAATGGCTGCTGCGCAGGGCCTGAGGTCCTTGAAGGCCCCGTCTGAAGGTAGGAGGGTAGAAGCTGCAGGTACTGGATGAATCTGGAAGGGAAGGCTCACTCCTCAGTCACCTGAGTCCCAGTTCCCAGGGTCCAAGCAAAGAGCAGATTCTTCCTAACTGGCCTTAAGACACAGTGACCCAAGGTCGAGTCCCAGTGCCTGAGCAGCGCTGCCAGACAAGGTGTCATCCGGGGCCCTGCCCAGGCCTCCAGCCTTCTGGTAGGAAGTGCTAGTCTGCCCCATCTCCCTGGATGGCAGGTGCAAGGTTCCAAGCTCCTGAAGGTCAAATCAATGGGTACTTTTGGGACGTGGCTCAGCTGGTCAAGTGTTGGCCTTAGGGACATAAAGGCCTACGTGCGATCCCAGAACCCATGTTAAAAATAAAATAAACTAGTGTGATGGTGCGAGGCTCCAGGACACACAAGGTGACAGGCAGGCACCTGGGGAGGTGTCCAGGGACTGCCTGAACAAACCAGGGAAACAGGCGAAGCACGAAAGCGGAAATACGGGTGGTTAACAGGCACTTGAAGGTGTTTAGTCTGGCCGTGAGTCCCAGAAATACTCGTGAAAAACAATCACACAGCCTCCTCCTTCTGCCGGGTGAATGGGCAAGTCTCTCAAGGGCACTTAGCCAATGGGGATGAAGAAAGGGCCTCTTGACACCCCACAGGGACAGTTTGGCAATGTGTACAAACAGCTTAAATATGCCATGCCATTTGCCCATGTAATTCTGTGTGTGTGTGTGTGTGTGTGTGTGTGTGTGTGTGTGTGTGTGTGTGTGAGTGTGTGTGTTACTGGGAATAAAACCCAAAGAGAACTAATAATTGCAATCTGGGGGCATAATTTTAGGATAATCAAAAACAAAGGGTTACATTAACGACAAAAGTAATACCTAAAAGAACAAAGATGGTTAACTTACCCAGTGTGTTAATTATAATAAATGAAATGTATAGTCCATCACCATAGGAAAGAAACAAGGGACATGCCTAGTGGCACAAACAGATATAATTCTAGCACTCAGAAAGGCTAAGGCAGTAAGACTAGAGGCGCTCAAGGCTGGCCTGAGCTATGTAAGGAGGCTGTCTCATAAAACGTGAGGGAGGGGAGAGATAGCTCGGCACTTAAGAGAGCTTACTGTTCTCACAGAAGACTCCTTTGCTTCCCAGCAACACTGTAGGATGTGTCACAACTGCCTGTAACTCCAGCTCCTAGAAATCTGACACCCTCTTCTGGCCTTCACAGGCATTGCATGCACATGTGCACACACACACACACACACACACACACACACACACACGATTAATAAAACAAATCTTTTTAAAAGAATCAATGGTAGGTCAAGTCACAAAGAAAATTTCAAATTCTCAAAGGTAGAAATAGTTCCTGATTCAGTCTTTTTTTTTAAATGGTTTTTCAAGACAGGGTTTCTCTTTGTAACAGTCCTGGCTGTCCTGGAACTCGTTCTGTAGATCAGGCTGGCCTGGAACTCACAGAGATCCTCCTGCCTCTGCCTCCCAAGTAATGGGATTAAAGGCATGTACCACCACCACTCATATCCTGATTCTGTATTTAACCACACAACAACAGAATAAAAAAATTGAAAAAATTAGAAATAACAATTTAAAAATTAATCTTTCAAACATATAAGTATTAAAAACTACAGAATATCTAAATTAAAAACAAACCACACACATTAAAATTGAAAACATAGTATACAGAGGAAAAGTTCATTGCTTTTGACGTTTCAAAAGGACAAAATAAACAAAGGCTACTAAGATGGCTCAGTGGTTAAACCAGACTAACTGAGTTCCATCTCTGGGGACATGGTGGAAAGAAAAAAATGGCTCCCACAAGTTGCCCTTTGACCTATGTGTGCACATGCAAGAAATAGTAAATAAATAAATAAATAAATAAATAAATAAATAAATAAATAAATGTAATAGAAAATTTTGAACTAAGCAAGCAATTCAATATGCTTTCTTGGAAAAAGCAAAAAAAAAAAAAAAAAAAAAAGAGCACCCAAACGAAGCAAGAAGGGAACAAGGTTATATGTAAAAGTTTAAAAGGTTAGAAGTCATAGGTCACACAGCCAGAGAGATGGGAAGCCCGGAGACCTCTTTAGGATTCTAGCCCGCATCCATTCACAGTGTCCTCACGAGAACTCTAGCATTGCTGCGCAGACAGTCACCCCCATGTGTGTAATCCCCACACGGGAAAGACGAAGGCATCCAAGGGCAAGTGTCGGCCAACAATGTATCGGAGAAGCCCACCAGGGGCAGCCGAGTGGCCATGTGGGAGACGCAGTACACCAAGTGGCGCCACGGAACAGGCTGAGGACTGTGAAGGACGCGTCTATTTAAAGGGAAGAGGGCTTTTAAAAGTAAGTTCACCGGGTTCCTTAGATTTTTTTTCTAATGATTTACAGAGTGAACTAACACAGGCAGCGTGAAGGAGTAAACTTTTCAAAAAACAGAGCTCTCCTAAGCAGGAGCTTTGCAGCTACATGGAAAAACACTCTGGTGCCCAAGTAAATAAATAATAAAAGGGTATGGAAACAATACACCTTGAAAACTGTCCCTTCTCTGTTCCCCTGGCCAGAGGCAGTGCTGACAGGTTCGCGCTGCATGGCTTACAGGTCCAGCTAGCGTGTATTTATCTAGTAACACTTGAGTACTATTCAAGGAACTGGGGAGGCCCTTCCACAGGACTGGAGGATTTATGACTAGAGTCCAGTACTGACAGACAGACTCCTAAGGCAAGACACCTGCCTTGAATGAGATGGCATTTGAGCGTGCTCACAGCACACAACTGTCCTTATTCCCCTGTAGGAAAGTGTCTGGGAATGCATGCAGACCAGGAAGCCGGTGCTAATAAACTGTCATCCTCCACCACACCTGGCCTCTGCTTTGAACAACAGTTCTATGGCATCTGTGTTGGCCCTCACCGTATTAGCACGTGTATTCTTGTATTTCTTAAGTCCACGATGCATTACCATCAGGGGAGAGTTGTGCAATCCAAATGCACAGGACAAAATATGAATGAGTGCCTATCAGGAGGAAATAGTACGCAAACAAAAACAACCCAAAAGCTAGAATCATCCCGCATCAGTGCTGTCTGGGCGGGCTTCCGTGAGCGAGGAAGGAGTCACAGTGTGTGCAGACAGAGGGGCAACTGATGGCATCAAGGTCTAGAAAAAGGAACCGCTGAAGAGCTGCCGTGTCCGTAGCCAGGCGGGAAACAGCCCATGCCCCCTAAGCCAGACGCACAGGGCTGCACAGCCTTGTACTGCAGCCTTCCTGGAGAGGGGAAGCTGGAAGCTTGAGGCAGTCTCCGGCAGGGGGCTGCTCTCGGGGTCTTTGCTTCTGCTTAGATCCATCTTATCTGACTGTGGGGCTTGAGTTACCTAAAGCTGTCAGGCTTCTGTGTGGTGCAGAGCAGCCTCAAAAGGAAGTGGACACAGGTGGACTCTGCTCCTTTTTCTGGGGTGGCATTACATCCCTTCCCTTCTCTCATCCACGAGAACAGAGCAGTAGCCTCTGTTATCTTCATGACCAATTTCTTCTCATAGCTTTGCAAATGACAGTGACAAGGGTTGCTTCCACCTATATTAAGCCAACCTGCCTCGCAGAGCAAAAGACTGGTGAAGGATGAGAATCCAGTTCTGAAGCCATTTTGGTGAGGTATGAATGGGATCAACACTTTTTCTAGGGGTAATAGGGGCCCTGCCTACAATTGTATGCCCATAGCTCCACTTTCATCACTCCTACAAGTACCTCAAGAAGACAGTCATCTGTGCGCTGTTGGCAACAGCCAAAGACCAGAAGATGTAAACTTCCAACAGTAAAGAGAGAGTACGCTGGGGCGGTGGTGGCGCACGCTTTTAATCCCAGCACTCGGGAGGCAGAGGCAGGTGGATCTCTGTGAGTTCAAGGCCAGCTTGGTCTACAGAGTGAGTTCCAGGACAGCCTCCAAAACAATAGAGAGAAACCCTGTCTCGAAAAACCAAAAAAAAAAAAAAAAAAAAAAAAAAAAGAGTACAACAATTCAAGGTAACACATCCACAGAAAAACCAAACAAAACCGCAGTCATGAGCTACATGGAACTTGTGCTGAGGTATATTATTACACAAAAGGGGGGGGGGAACGGGATACAATGCATGTTATTATATATAGAATAGAATATACTATTTATATAAAATTATTCTAAGACTATGCAGTTCTATTTGTGAGACAGTCTCAAGTAGCCCAGGCTGACGTCAAACTTGCTATGCAGAGGGTGACTTTGAGTTCTGGATTATCTTGCCTCTGCCTCCCAAGTGCTGAGATTACAGGCAAGTGCCACCTCATCCAGCTTTTACTATGTTGTTATTGAAATCATGCTCTGTTGAGCGGGGCATTGTGCCTCACACACCTTTAATCCCAACTCTAGGAAGCCAGAGGCAGGTCAGTCTCGGAGTTCAAAGCCAGCCTGGTCTACAAAGCAAATCCCAGGCAGCCAGAGCTGGTACAGAGAAACCCTGACTGGAAAAACAAAACAAACAAAAAAGAAAAAAATCTTGACCTGGTGGTAGTGGCATAAGCCTTTATTCCCAGCCCTCGAGAGGCAGAGGCAGGTAGGTCTCTGTGAGTTTGAGGCCAGCCTGGTCTACAGAGTGAGTTTGAGGATAGGCTCCAAAGCTACACAGAGAAGCCCTGTCTTGGAAAAAAAATCTTGCTAAAATTTAGTAGGCTGGTTTTGAACTCATAGACTCAAGCAGTCCTCTGACCTCAGACACCAGAGTGCTGGGCTTCAGACAGGTGTCCCTGCATCTAGCAAGACTATACACACATTACTTGTTCTTTCATAGGCTGTCTCTGGAAGCCTCGCCTACTAACTTACGATAACGAAGCTTCAAGAGAGAGAAATCAAGGTGAGGGAACAGGGAGGAGGCACACATGCGAAGATAACTTAATTTTCTCTCTGTAGTCTTATTTTTGTTTTGAATTTTTTCTTATATGCATACGTTACTAAAAAACAAACTGAAGGTGGACATGGTACCTTGACCAGCACTGAGCACACTGAAGAAGTTTAAAGGCAGCCAGGGCTGCCACACAGTTAGTTCAAGGCCAACCTAGGCAACTTACTGAGACTCAGAACAAAAGGAGGGGAGAAGAGGAAAGAAGGAGAGAGGGAGGGGGAAGGAAGGAAGAGGGGGAGGAACGGAAGGAGGAGCTGTCTTAAAAACTCAATAAGGGACCCAAAGGACTTAGCACTATTGACACAACACCCCAGGTGAACCCACTGGTTCTTTGCTCCGGCTTCCGAGACCAGGTTGAGACAAGTCATACTCTGGTTTTTCCAAAGCAAAAATGCTGTGTGCTCTGACAACAATGTCAAATTCTTACTTGTGTGTAGTAAATAAGAAATGTTTTACCTTTCAGCAAAGGTATCGAGTTTCCCCAACTCATCAGAGAGGCCAACAAGGGAATCCAAGGTCCCCACCTAGAAAAGACCATACAGGAGGTCAGCTCATGTGCTCTCTGGCCAACAAGTCAGTGTAAGGTGTAACCTTTTAACAGCTGTGCAGGGTGGATGTCTTTAGCCAACAGCCAGACTGAAAGGTGGAAAAACACTTTGGGGAAACACTTAGATTAAGAGCTATCTTTTTAGCTGGGTGGTGGTGGTGCACACCTTTAATCACAGTACTTGGGAGGCAGAGGCAGGCAGATATCTGTGAGTTCGAGGCCAGCCTGGTCTACAGAGTGACTTCCAGGACAGCCAGGGCTATTACATAGAGAAACCCTATCTCAAAAAGCAACATCAACAAAAGCCTATCCTTTTAATTTTATTATTATTATCTGTGTGTTATGTACATGTCAGTGTGTATCGTATATATACACATGTGTACAGATACTTGTACATTTAGAGGTTAGAGGTCAACATAGGTATCTTCTTCAATTTCTTCCTATCTTGTTTTTTGAGACAGAGTCACTGAAACATGGAGTTTACCAGTTCAGCTAGCCTGGATGTCCAGGGACCCCTGTCTCTGTTTGTCCCATGTTGGGATTACAGGTGCATGCCAGTGAAATCTGATATAGATTCTAGAGATCAAAACTTGCTTCCCTTTTTTTAAAATTGTGTTTTCTGGAACAAGATGGCCACAGGACAAGCAGACACAGCTCTTTTCCAAGAAGGACTATTGGTAGCCTGACCTCAGCTCAGTTTATAGGGGTCCTTTTCAGATTACTCAGGGTCTGTTTCTTAGTATAGACGTGAACAAAGTGTCCAAGGACCCACTGAAAAGTCTTTCCAGAGACAAAGGAAGGAAGGGTCTGCTCCTCAGTGCAGGGTTACATGGTGTCATACTCAGATTTTTACAGGGCTGTAGGGACTGACTATAGCCCAAGTCTCTTCCCTCTGTCTCCTCCCAGCCCCTCTCTCTGGGGGAAGGGTCTCACAATTTAGCCATGGACTCCTTTTGTGGAGCAGCCTGGCCTAGAATTTATAGCAATCATCTAGCTTGCCTCTAGAGTGCAGGGGTTATGGGTGTGAGCCACCACGCCTGACCTATTTTTTTGAAAAAGATCATTCCTGGGGGCCGGAGAGATGGCTCAAGAGTTAAGAGTGCTGGCTGTTCTTCCAGAGGACCCGGGTTCTACACCCAGCACAGTTACAAAGTCTCTGATGGTCTCCTCTGTCCTCCACAGGGTGGTGCACAAACATGCATGCCAACAAAAGCACTCACAAACAAAATAATTAAAAAAAGATCGTTCCTACCTTGCTCATATTTTACATTTGTTTCATCCTAATCTCCCCATCCACTACAAGAGCCCTCTCAGACCCCCCCACTTGACCCCCACTGCAGCCCCTTCCTCCCCTCCAACAGAATCAGAATGGTCCTGGACTTCCTGGACTGCCTCTAGGTCAAGAAAACCATCAAAGCTGAAGGCCTCCCAAATCATGCATTCAGCTATGCACTGGGTCTGTTTAGATGCTGCCTACAAAACAGAAGACCCTGAGCTCCACTCCCAAGGATCTCTTCCACTTTCCATGCACAGTCTACCCACCGTGGCCTGCCCCATTCCTGCTTACCTCTGGCTTCGAGTCCAGAGGGCCACAATTAATCTGGGGCTATGGCACAAAGTCCCAGTGACACCCCCATCCACCCTCTAGCCCAGGGTTATTTCTCTTCACCATTCCTGCATTTGCCCTACGTCCTTGTCTTTGGCTTCAGAGAAACTACCTCCTTGCTCAGAAATCCCTGCCCTCCTCCCATCCATAACCTCCTCCCTCCTCTCTGGGGCTCTTACCTTGAAGTCAGGGATGGCGAACTTGGTGTTGTGGGACAGGTTGGACTTTGAAGTCACATTGTTCATCTTCTCCAGAGCTTGTAAGTTTTCCTTATCGCCAGGGGCCGAAATAAGCCAAAACTCGGACATGTTTCTAAGTCTTCCGGTTATCCGGTTACCAGGTTACCAACGGGCACCAAGATAAATGCGCACAAACAGAAACAGGAGTGGAGATGTGTCGGGTGTCCACCTCACCCTTCCTTACCTCAGAATTAATCCTCTACGGGCCCTGACACCTTTCTATTTGTCATGCCCGGCTTTGACCCTCCTTGTGCATTTTCAGCAGCGTTAAGGACACTCATCTGTCCCCGAAGCGATCTGTCTGTCCCCGCCAGGGAAGCCCCAGGTCACAGGGAAGCTTCATGGCCCACCCTCCCTAGTGCTCTGATTGGTCCGGGACTGCGCTCCTTGCACTCTCTGGACTCCAGGGCACAGCAGCTCTAAGATGGGCAGACAGTCAGCTAGGCATGGAGCTTTCTGGGAGGATACTCACCATCTTTGCGTATTGTATTTTATGGCATCCAGGAAGGGAGGATGGAGATGGGAGACAAGGGATTTTTTCACACTATTATAACACAGGTCAAGCCCCAGATTTAGCGTTAGAAACAAACTTCAAAGGAGCTTTTCAAAGGGTTACTAGTCTTTTTTTTTTTTTTTTTTTTTTTTTTTCCTGCTGAGGGAGATGGCTCTTTGTGGGGCCAGGTAGCTTGCTGGGCCGGCACAACCAGCACTTTCAACGTTGCATAGGGGTGTAGGGGCCTCGGTTTGTACTGCTCATTCAAACGTGGGTACATCCATACACCTTCCCAGGCGGGTTCTCCGTGCCTGTCACCTCCCTAGTGCATCCCGTCCTGGGACATCTGCAGCAACTTGAGTGACCACGGGGTAGCGTGAGCCCTCCCAATGCCCCTTTTTCCCTACCTCCATCTCGCACCCAGCTGAGACCCTGCCTGTCCCTGCTAACCGTGCACAAACTAAATGCTGTTCTTTCCGACCTGACTGCATATTGCCTGGGGACAAACTGGCTAGTGCGCAGCTCCTGGGGAGATGCCACCTGCTAAGCCGGGGAGAGTGTGGCGTGGGCACCGGCTTCCCACCTTCCCGTTGGGAAAGTGTACACCCGGGCCGCGGGGGCAAAAGGAGATGCAGACCCGACGGGGTTGGGGGTCACGCGTGACGTCCCTGGCTGCCTCAGCAGCTCGCTCCCCACCCCAGACTCTTGTTGCCACTCGGCCACGAATCCTTACCAGGAGCGGCGGGAGATCGTCTGGGCTGTAGACTACACGCGGGGACGGACGCGGGGCGGGAGGATCGGCCGGAGCGCAGAGCCGGCTCCCGGGAGGCAGCGGCTTCTATGGTCCGGTGCACGCCCCGCCCCGTCTTTTATCCCAGCGGGAGGGGCAACCCAACCGTGAGCCCCTCGAACATTTGCATACGGGCTGCCCGCCTCCTTAGGTGTCCTTGTCGGTGTGGCGCTGCTGGGGACCCGGGACTCGCAGAGCGTGCTCCGGCCAGGCACTATACAGGCAAGGTACAGAAGGGACTCTATTCCGCGCGGGTCTCCAACGTCCCTTCCGCACGTGGGCTCAGCCCGGAGTTGGGAAGTAGCTGGGAGCCTGACCCGATAGCACTAGCAGAGACACTTCAGCGTGGCAGTGACAGGAAGGGATTACCAGAGGGTCCTCTGGCTACAGCCTTCCCCTCCCACTCCCACCACACCGCACCCCTGCTGAGTATCCAGGGGAATCACCTGGATGCTCTCTGGTGCTCCAGAGACCAGGCTGACCCATGGAAAGCAGCGCAACAGGTTCACAGATGTTTTCCAACACACGCAAACGCGCACTCACACCTGCAGGGAGGAGCGGCTCCTCTACTGTCAGCGTGGGAGCCAGCCTGCCCCAAGTTGCCCAGGCAACAGCCATCTCATCTCACCCACACAGAGGGGATTTAACGCTGTTGGAGTTGGGCTGAGGGATATAACTCAGCTGGACTGCAAGGCCCTGGGTTCCATCGCTACAACAGAAAAAAAAAATGAGGGAAAAAGTTTCACAGGATTCCAGGGTGACTAATAGGCTCCTACCAGCCCAGCCCAACATTCATTTTTTTTTTTGGTTCCCAAGAAATTAAATAGGTAGGAGGGTAGCTGGGTAGATGAGTAAGTGGGTGGGAGGGTAGGTAGGTGGGTGGGTGGGAAGGGATTCTACAAGACTTAAGTACATATTCTATCTGAAATCTGAAAGTGGAGTCATGAGATGAGGGTGGGAGGGAGAGAGAGGAGAATACATAAATTGACAAAAATATTTAAACTAGCAAGGGGACCCCAAGAATTAGCCCATGAACATAAAACAAAAGTGACACATAGCAATGCACACACACCTTCAATCCCAGCACAGGCAAGGCAGAGAAGCCAGGACTGTTTCACGGAGAAAAGAAAAAAGAAAAACAGGCAAAAATACCCCCCCGCATGCACCCCCAAACTTATTTCTAGGGTCAGAAAGAGGAAGCCTGGGCAGTCTATTTTTTCTGCAGACAGTGGCTTCAGGGGCTTTGGGGAGAGACAATACTAAGGGGACTGTTGAAAAAGGCGCTTGCTGCTACCTTGACAAAACAGTCTTCTCTCTACAGCATCAAACCATCTGTGTTAATCCACTCAGGCGAATGTTTTCCCGTCCTTGGGGAAAGAACTGGGTGTGGTCTGAGACTGGCTGTGACGGGTTAGGAAGTCCAGATCACGACACACGTGGTCTGAGGTCAAGGTGCTGGATGCCACTTGGATGCTTCGTGGCTCTGGAGCTCCCGGCACCTGCGGTGTGCGTCACTGTGTTGAGACACTGCTGAGCATTCGTCAGCCTTGCAACACGTCCTGGGGGAGGACACCTGAAACCGAGGGATGAGGAAAGGCTGATGTGCCTAGTCCTGCTTGAACACGGGTGGTCTGTGTCTCAGCTGAGAAACCAGCGATGGACCCAGGACCAGATCGCACTGACAGACGAGGGGAGGCAATAGCTCAGTCCATGGAAAACTTGCATCTGGAGCTCGGGCTGGCGTCCGGAGGAGTGGACCCTCACACTTGCCGGCCTACAGGACTGTGGCATCACTTGAACCCATGTAATTCCTTCCAGCCAGCATTCTTCTGCCCT